AAAAAGAGAATAGTTTTTGCTTAAAGTATCAGGGCATAAAGACCTGCAACTCTTTTCCTGGTTTGCACACAGATTTTTTTCCTCCAGGGCTCTCTGTGTTTTGGCAGACAGTAGATGTTTCTCACCACAAGACAAGATTTTGAAAACCAGCAACAAAGACTCAAGGATGTTCTGTGCCCTCGTTCACTTTAAAATATCCTGTCCACCAAAGGCTTTCATCTGAAATGAGCCTTGTGCTGATTCCTGCCCTCACCTGGGGTCTGTCGCTGAGACCCCAAAGCTCTTTGACATCCCCATTGGGAAGGTTTCCCCCAAAGCCCATCTCACGGGGGGGTGGTGAACATAGACCCAGAGAGGCTTCACCAAACCACACCGCAGCAGCTCTGTTTGCCATCCCTTTGCTCCGGCTCCTGCCACAACCCTCCTCTTTGCCTCCTGTTGAACAACACCAACACCTCTTTGTAACACTCCAAACAGTTGGCTCCAGACTGCAAACCGGAGTGATGCAGGAGGGTATTTATATAGACCTAACACATGCTTAACAGGAGCGGATGATGCAAACGAGCTAAAATCTACACTTTGTAGAGGTTTATAAGGGGTTGTAAATAGATCGTGCCAAACATTACTCATGTCCCAGGACTGGCGCCTGTAGCACACTTCCTTTCTGCCTTAGACAGCTCAAACTCCTGATGCTGCCCCCGAAACAAAACACTGGTCAGGTATAACCATGCAGGTGGGGGTTTGGAGCTCTGTCCCAGGGCTGGGACGGGGCTGGGGGGTGCTACAGCAGGGTGAGGGTGATGCCGTACCTCTATAAGGTAGTCCTTTGGGTCACAGGTGCTGAAGGCTCTTCTGAAGAGTAGGTAGAGCCCCTCAGGAGCCCTGCGAGCCCCGAGGAGGTGGTAGTCCTGCTGTGAGTCCATGTGGAGCTGCCCCTCGGCATCGCTCCAGGCATCCTGCGGGAGGAAGAGCATCCCGCTAAGCTGGGAGGCTCCGCTGGCCCCGCGCAGCCCGAGGAGCCCACGGCGGTGACTTCCAGCAGTACCACCAGTCGTGAGGTCCTGTTTGCCCTTCAGTTAGTTCACCCTCTGCATCCCAGAGGTGGAGGGAGCCTGTGTTTTGGTTGCCCCATGCCCCAGGAAAAGGGCACGGGGGGACGAAAGCCCGCAGGGATGCATGAAGGCGTTACATCGGTCTGTGCTGTGCTTTGGGTGTATTTGGCTGGGGGCGACCTTCTGGGGCGGGGGATGATGTGCTTTCCAAGACCCTTGCCAGAAACCAGTGCTCCCAATTTAAGATCAGACCTTTGCTGGGCTGTAGCGTCAGCCCTAGAAATCACTATCCTTGTTCAAAATCCTTAATTTATTGTGACCAGATTGTTTTGGCAGCCTAGCAAGGCCACCCAAAAACTGCTCACTGTTTTCAAGGGTGACAAAGCCACAACGAGAAGCCAAGCAGTAAGTTACTCCTGTGCTTAAGGATTTGAAGGTTTGGAGTATAAAATCCTGCAATAATTTGGATTTGAAGGTTTGGAGTATAAAATCCTTCAATAATTTGAATTTGAACAGCATTGTTGTCTTGATCTTTTACAACTCCTGGTGATATCTTTTATTTACTGAGAAAAGGCACCTGAGCTCTACGTACACAAGTGGCATCAGTTCTCTTATGTTGGGGGGAAAAAAAACAGCAGAAAAAGAATAAAGGATCTTGGCATAATTTCAGTCAGAAGTATAGAGTGATATTTCGAGAACATGTTGTCCTCAGAGGGGGAGAGTGAAAGCAGCTACATGAAGCTAGCATGACATTTGTTTTTATAGGAGTATGGTGTGCAAATTAGTCTTGTAGTACATAGGGGGGTTAAGCAAATTTGAATCTTTTTAAGAGCTGACATACTTATCCAGAAGAAAGGCTGCTGGGAGAGAGAAAAACCAGGACTGGAGAGATTTATAGAAATCTCCTCGCAGGATGCTGTTCAGCACCAACAGAAAGAGAAAGCCCAAATGCTGCCCGGTGGTTTGTCTTTCAGTGAGCACATGAAGGCAGATTAGAAACAATCCTTTATGTTTTTTTAACATGATGCTGTGAAATACTGTAGCATTCGGGCCGCCACACATCCTGAATGGCGGGTAATTAGCAGGAGAACGGTACAGATAATAACCCCTCCTTTTCATCCTTTCATTACACTGCAGATCGTATTGCGGCTGATTGCGAAAGAAGGTATTTTTCTGGTTAATTTGAAGTAAACGGAGAGGTAAAATTTAACTTACTGGAAAGCCTCACACAGGGAAAAACGCGAATTGCTTTCTGCAGCCGAGTGCAAAGAAGCCTAATGTGGTGGGCTGGGGCTGGGTGGCTGCCGGAGAGCAGGGGGGTACTGGCACTGAAACACAAACCCAGCAAGAACCTGGACACACGGACTGTGTCAGGAAGGGCAGCGAGCTGCAGTAGCGATGTCAAACAGCAAAATTAGAAATTAGTGTCCCCCCCTCCACCGCATCTGGTACTACCGGGCATTTATGTATCATCCAAATATGTTTGTGTGTTTAACGCCTGATACCACGGTGCCACTGGCAGGGGG